GGGCTCGGAGCCAACCCCGCCCCCTTCCCAGCTACGGCGTGGGGCTGCGAACGGTCTACCCCTGTGGCTCCTTCGTTCATCCCTGCTGGCTGGTGATCATGGGACAGGAGCCGCGCACGCTGCCGCCTTCTCCTAACTGGTACTGCGCCCGCTGCAGCGATGCCGTGCCCGGGGGCCTTTTCGGCTTCGCAGCGCGGACCTCCGTCTTCCTTGTCCGCGTGGGCCCGAGCGCCGGCGCGATCCCTGGGACGCCCCCATTTCGAGGTAACTCCTCACCTCCGGGCCCCCGCCTTCCTGCCCTTCTTGGGTTCGCCGGAGGCGCCGATTGGGCGTTTCTAGCTACCTTTCTCTACAGATGGGGAAACTGAGGCCCAGGAAGGATCAGCTCACAGTCACTAGGCTGTTGCGTCCGCGTCTCCAAGATTGAGCTACACCACGCTGTGGCTTAGCGGTCCCGCCTCCTGGCGCTCTCACGTAGGACCGCTTGCTCACTGAAGTTACCCCTTTCTAGACCCAGGCATTTATAACATCTTTGGCCACCCTCCCCCACGCAGCGCGCGCGGGCCCCCTGGGAGCCTTTCTGGGTTTAGGGGCTGCCTACAGCTCCAGGCCCTAAACAAGATCCTGGAAATACATACTTGTTTCTGTAAGATGAATGAGTTGAGCCAGAAGCTTTCAGGCTCCAAACTAGGTTTTGATTATGCCTTGGGATATGGCAAGCTAGTTATTTATTCTTTAACAAATGAGCTCTGGCCATATCTAAATAAGAATCACTTTTACATTCTTCATTTGAGCCACTCCTCAGCCTGTGAACTGTGAACAGCAAGGGATATCAGCAGCATTTTACGGTTGAAAAGAGTGAGGCTCAAGGAGATAAAATGGGCTGAAGTCTTGTGGCAGAGCCAGAACCAGCACTTGGGATTTCTGATTATGAGTGCCTGGATACTTTCGTTATACCACAGGACAAGGGAGGTCCCACTCATCTAACAACAGTATGATTCTGCCAGGAATCTAGGTAGCACTCTAACCTGAAGTCTGGTTTTCCTTGAAGTCATAGGGGAGTTGATGGGACACACCGAAAGGGTCTCTGGCTTCACCTTTTCTCATTACCCGGGTCAATACAACCTCTGTGCCACCAGCTCTGATGATGGAACTGTGAAAATCTGGGATGTAGAGACAAGAACAGTCGTGACAGAACATGCACTCCATCAGGTACCATGGCTTAATGGTTTCTCAGACCGTTATTATGTATCTGCTGAGGGTTCGTTTGTTTCAAGTACTCTAGCTCATCTGTGCAAGTTAGCTTTTACGTTCTTAATTGGATGAGAAACTCTATATTGTAAGATGCCTCAAAACTTTTTTGGAAGGAGATACATATAAACCAGAGGTCAGCAAACTACAGTGCTGCCTGTTTTTGTAGATTGTTTTTACTGGAATATGGCCACAGTCATTAATTCAAGTATTGGCTGCTTGCATACTACAACGGCAGAGTTGAGTAGTTGTACCAGAGACATTACGGCTGACAGAGTCTAAAATACCTATTATCTGGTTCTTTACATGAAAAAGACTCCTGATATAAACTGTAAATGAGTGAATGAAACTTGTTTCTAAACTAAATGATTACTTGATAAATCTGCCTTTTGAGAGAATGTAGAAAAGGAAAAGACTCAGTCTTCGTAAGAACTTTGCATTAAGCTATTAAAGGAAGAAATGTTTTTAAATGGTTCTTTGATCCTTAGGAGCTTAAATTCTTCTACCATTTGGTTCATGTACCCTTGGTATACAAGTGGCAGTAACAGTATTATGTACCTATCAATGTGCCTGGTATTATACAGGTTAAAAACAAACTAAAAATTCAGCACTGACCAATGAGAAGCAAATGTATTTTTGTTTTGTTTTAAAGCATACAATATCAGCATTGCATTGGTCTCCTCAAGTAAAGGATTTAATAGTATCTGGAGATGAAAAAGGAGTAGTTTTCTGTTACTGGCTTAACAGAAATGACAGCCAGCACCTCTTTATAGAACCCAGGACAATTTTCTGTCTTACTTGCTCACCTCATCATGAAGATTTAGTAGCCATTGGGTAAGTGCTGTATCATCTCTACTGGTAATGTATTTTTGTTAATGAGCATATTTTGCATTTGCTTTATATTCTCCTGTCCCATTTATTCCTCAGAAGAAGCCATTTATAGGTTTTAACCACTCCCTGAGCCCTTGGTAACATTTATTCCTGTGACTTCCAGGTCCTTACTATCTCTCTCTCTCTTTCTCTGTTTATATTTCTTTAGTTTCTACAGTAGTGTACTTTCCTCATTCTTCACATCTGATTTCTTTAGTCAGCCTCCAAATGTAGGAAATACCCTCTTTCCCCCTTTCCCTCCCTCAATACTTGCTCTTCAAGATAACATTTACTCCCAGAGTGTCAGAGGACTCAGCTCTGTCCCAGTTCTCAACCCTCTGTCTGGATTGGGAGAGTAGTCTGGCATTGGGCTCTCTGCCTGCACCTCGATCACCAAGGTTGTTTCACATAAACTGTGTGAGCAGGCACCCCCCTTTCCCTCACCACTCCATCTACTTCTCTCCCAAAGATGTCTTTTCACTCTAGTTTGAAGAATTGACATAAGCTCTAGAACGTTGGAGGAGAAAGTCTGGCTGGAGTGGATTCAAGAAACTGGGGGTACAGTAGTCAAGATACACATGGAGACTTTGTTGTACAAATGTGCATAGACATGAAGCCAGAGGAGAGGTATGTGGGAGTCAAGGGAATATTAAATGGAAGATAGTAAGGGCATGTTTTTACATTGATGGAAGAGGAAGAGCCAGTTGCACAGATAAATGGTGATAAATACAGCAGTGATATTGAGAAGTCAAGAGGGGATTGGATCCAGATCACAAGTAGAAAGGACAAGTGAGAATATGGAAACAGGTGCAGGTAGGTTTGTTGATCTGGTTGGAAGAGGAGGGTGTTTCATTCTGATGGCTTCTGATTTTCTCCATGAGGCATAAATCAGAAAGGTAGAGTCAAGCTCAAAGTGGGGCTGGGAGCATGCAGGAAGATGTGAAAATAGTCATCTGAGAGAATAGGAAAACGAGCTTACTGAGGGACATTGTAGGTCCAGTGGTTCCTGTTGAGTGCCAAGCTATGAATCAAAGTCATGAATTCAAAGTAAACTATTCAAACTGATTGAGAAAGGTATGGTTGGATTCAACAAAGTTTGGGGTTTTGTGGAGTAAATACCTCTGAGAGAGATGGGACAAAGGAGCTAAGGGTGTTTTTAAAGGAGTGATTAGGATGATGGATGGTGAAATCTGCGGCATGAGGGAAAGGATAGGAAGACAGTTGTGGGTGTGTAATAGTGAAAACTGAAGGAGTCTGTGGATCAGAGGTCTGCTGGGTGAAGTGGGAGCACTAGAGAGGGAACAGAATGGTTGGTAGGCAGGGGTCAGAGAAGGTTGAATCAAACTGACCTTGAAAGACGAGCAAGAATTCACAAGAAAAGAAGAAACCTTTCAGGTAGAAGGAACTGCACATTCAGACACAGAATTGAATCAGAACGATTTGTTTTTAGAGGATCTTCAAAATGGTGATCATTCCCTGAAGGGCTGATTAAAATTGCAGAACAGCTTGATCACTTGACTATTAGGCTGCAAAAATTGATGGTTTTCGAAGTCCCCATCTGCAAAGATTGATACTTGATTTCTTTTTTTTTTAAATAAAGCTGTAATGGGGGGAAAATGTTTTTAATAAAAGGAGAAAAATAAATAGAGCTGTAATGGTGTTTTTTCCCTATAGAACTATCTAGTACATAGGAAATGTAAATACGTAAAGCCACTTGGGAAAGCAAAGATGTACGCATCTTACATTTGGCAGTTCCACTACTATGCATCAAATCTGAAATTGTCTTAAGTGTGTATAAGATTATTAATGGCATTTTTGTTTGGTTTTGTTTGTAATAACCAAAAGCGGAAGCCCTCCAAAAGAGAAACTGAATAGACTTGTGCCATATTCACACAATGGAGCGCTATCCAGTAGTATAAGTGACTGACCAGGAACCAGAGTTAGATGTATCAGCATGGATGACTCACTAACAATAAGCGAAAATAACAAGCTACAGAAAAACAGACCGCAGGACGCCATTTATATGAAGTTTTAAAATATACAGAAACAGGGGCGCCTGGGTAGCTCAGTCGGTTAAGCGTCTGCCTTCGCCTTAGGTCATGATCCTGGGGTCCTGGGATTGAGCCCCTCATCGGGCTCCCTGCTCCGCGGGAAGCCTGCTTCTCCCTCTCCCACTCACTCTGCTTGTGTTCCTTCTCTTGCTGTGTCTGTCTCTGTCAAATAAATAAGATCTTCAAAAAATACATATACATACAGAATCATTTTCCATCATCTTTGGGAATGGAGACAAAGAAAGGCTAGGAATGATGGAACAGAAAATTCACGAATAGCAGTTTACCTCTGGGGAAGAGAGGGAGAGAGGTTTGATTGGGGTGGGATGTAAAAGGACTTCAACCATATCGGTAATTGGGTTTTTTTTCCCTTAAGCAGGTTGGTGGACTTCTTTATGTGTATGAAGTACTTCATCTTTTTTTTTTTTTTAAAGATTTTATTTATTTATTTGAGACAGAGAGAATGAGAGACAGAGAGCATGAGAGGGAGGAGGGTCAGAGGGAGAAGCAGACTCCCTGCCGAGCAGGGAGCCCGATGCGGGACTCGATCCCGGGACTCCGGGATCATGACCTGAGCCGAAGGCAGTCGCTTAACCAACTGAGCCACCCAGGCGCCCTGAAGTACTTCATCTTTTTTGTTTAAAAAGCTATTAGAATTTCTCAGTGTCCTCTGAATTAAAAAAAAAAATGGTAGCCTTGGAATATCCAGATCTAGAAGCTACAGTACTGCAGCTTTTGTTCACAGTTGGAAAAATAGGATCACTTTTAAAAAGGGGGAGAGGTGTAAGTATGTTAGGACAAATTCATCTCTAATCAGAGGGATTGCTGGGCCCTGGGCCCCACAAATAACCGTTCTTCCAGAAGTTCCCTTCGAACATTCTGTGAGCTTATGCCAGGTAATGTATACATTTTTACTTAGTGCCAAGAGTTTGATTGGGGGGCAGGGGGACCAATGTGTCAGAACCACCGGGAAACAGAAAATGAACATTTTGGAAAAAGGACAAAAGATTATTTCTTGCTTTCTTCCCTTCTCCCTCATCCCAAATACACTTACCTTTTAGAAGTGCACAGTGATAACTCCTAATCCAAAATGTTTACTGTTCTGTCTTCATTTTTCAGTATTTCTAACTCTTGTTTTTTAGCTACAAGGATGGCATAGTGGTTATAATTGACATCAGTAAGAAAGGAGAAGTTGTTCACAGGCTTCGAGGCCACGATGATGAAATCCACTCCATAGCCTGGTGTCCCCTGCTTGGTGAAGACTGTTTATCCATCAATCAAGAGGAAAATTCAGGTAAAGATGATTTAAGAGGGTTGAGTACTCCTCAGACCTAAAGAACAATGTGGGTAAAACTGTATCATTTGAATTACATTTAAAACTTTAGGTTTTACAGATCAGATCTATAAACATAATAGCTAAGTTTCAGAAACCTTGCAAACTAGTTCTTTGACAAGTTCATGTATCGTATAAATTAAAAACAAAATGACCATCTTTACCCTAGAAGAACTTGAAATTCCCAACGGTAAAGTTATAGCACAAACTGCAGTAACAAAAGGCTGCTACTTAGCCACTGGAAGCAAAGATCAGACCATTCGAATCTGGAGCTGCTCTAGAGGCCGAGGTAAGATTGATATTTGATGTTTCTTTTGTGATACAAGCTGTAGATTGGTAGAAGTAGAAACTTTTAATTGTATCTTGTTATCCTAAGAGTGTGTCATCTGCCAGAAGGCAGTTTTTTACTTTTCTATCCAGAAAGTTGCTCCCCCCAGGCTGATTGCAGTTTTGGAGATGAGGGTTTCTGATGCATTCTTAGAAGGGACACTGTCAAAGAAGGCAAGATGTTATAAGGATAGGACTGTTGAAATTTAGCAAGGCGTGGATCAGAGAAATGGAAAAGAGCTAGAGGTTTTAATGCACAAATGCAGGATAAATAACATATACCCAGTGTAGAAGCACATGTTTAAGTGTTAAAGCTCAGTTTATCCAAACTACAGGGACCCTCAGTCCTTCACTTTTCCCAAGCTTCTCTCTTTGAACAGAACTTTCACGTTCAATTTACAAATTGAGAGGAACTCCAGGCAGAGTGCACATGGCCTTTATAGTAAAAATCGAGCCTTTCTCTTTACAGCAGTCTTCTTTCTCCACTTCATTTAAAAACCGTAAAAGCTTTATCATCTTCATCCAAGTGCATTAATGCATAGGAAGCAAACAGCACAGTGCTGGCACATGGTTATAGCTTAGTCACTGGTAACTAATAGTGTTATTCTGGAAAACAGAATTTTTTAAAGAATTGTGAGCTGCTTTTGGACATACTATGGCTGATCCTCCCAAGTGGGGACAATATTAGGCCAAGAACACCCTCCAGAAGGGTAACCTCTAAGCTTATGGATGTCTAGTACAATGGTTTTCAGTCCTAGTCATGCAGCAAAATCACCAGGAGAGTTTCTGGAAAATGTGGGTGCCTGGACCCCACCTCAAATCTATTGAATCAGAACCTCTAGGAGTTGGGCCCTAGCATAAATATTTTTAGAGGCTCCACCAGTGAGTTCCATATACATGGTAGGGATGAAGGACCACTGGTGAGTAGCATGTCAGGGGTGGAGGGACTTCTCATGGTCACTGCCATATTTGTCCCTTTTGTTGGCTTTCTTTTTTTTTTTTTAAAGATTTTATTTATTTATTTATTAGAGAACGAGCGAGAGAGAAACAGCATGAGAGAGGAGAGGGTCAGAGGGAGAAGCAGGCTCCCCGCCGAGCAGGGAGCCCGATGCGGGACTCGATCCCAGGATCCTGGGATCATGACCTGAGCCGAAGGCAGTCGCTCAACCGACTGAGCCACCCAGGCGCCCCTTTTTGTTGGCTTTCTTGCCAACTAGAAGAAGGAATCCTGTCCTGCCAACTTTGGAGAATCTGGAGTTGTGTTACCACCTGGGTCCACAGTTCAGTTGAACACTCATTTTCCCAGACAGACAATATTCTTAATGTGCTTAAGTTGCCAGAACAGCCTGTAAAAGCTTGTTTCACCTAAATTAGTTAGACTCGTATTAAAACTCTGTATAATAACATTTCCATGAGCAAATGAGGTCTGAATTCTAAGTAACCAAACTAACGGACTTTTAAACCACAAACTGTGTTGTGAACTGCTGGGGACTTCACGTGTGTAGTTTCACTGTCTTGAGCACCCACTGACCTCCTTTTAATCTGCAGGGGTGATGATTTTGAAATTACCCTTTCTGAAGAGAAGAGGAGGCGGTATAGACCCAACTGTTAAAGAACGCCTTTGGTTGACACTCCATTGGCCCAAGGATCAACCAACACAGCTGGTATCCAGCTGTTTTGGGTAAGTCTTTTTTTGGTCACGCTCTCTCGGACATATTTTGTTTTCCACTCTAGCTTGAGGAATTCCTAGGCTTCTCTTTCTCGACACACAAGAAGGAAAAAGCAGTGGTGAAGGCTTATATCATCATGGGCCATTTGTAATAGAAAAACCATGAGACAAATTCCTATGCTATCTAATAATAGTACTGAGAAAACCAGTAAGTATAGCCTGGTGGTTCAGAGCGTGGACTCTAAAGTCAGGCAGAACTACATTTCAGAATCAGTCTCTTATCTTCTGTGTGTTCATGAGCATGACCCTTTACTCTGAGCTTTAGTTACTTCATATGTAAAAGAGGGAGCTTACAGAATTTCCTGTCTCTTAGGGCGATTATAGCCATTCACTGAACAAAATGTATTGAGTACTGGCTTCTAAGTGCAGACAAGGGCCCTGCTTTTAAATGAAATGACAGTTAAAGCATATAAAAATCCTCCCCCCCCCCCCAAATGTTGATCACGGCCCTACTCCCCCACACTGTCCCAAAAAAGAGAGAGAGAGGGTATGTCATAAAGCTTTGGGCTATGCAAATTATGGTGGCATTTTACAGTTAAAGCTGTTAGGAAAATCTGTTCCAAAGGTAGTGCAGTACATTCATGTCATTCAAAAAGAATGCAGGAACATAGTGAAGTACTTACTCTGTCTTCTCAAGCAACCAGATTCCCTTCCCCAGGGGCAGTGACTCCTTGTTTTTGTGTGTGTTCTTTCTGAGCTATTTTGTGCATATTTCAGAATATGCAGTTTCTTCTCCTTAAAAGAACAGTTAGCAAAATTATTTTGCAGCGGAGGGCCCCTACTCTCTGTCCCCAAATCCGCTTGTTTCAGATTGCTTGTGAAAGAGAACTTGTGCTTGTTTTTCCTTCACAGAGGCGAGCTGTTGCTGTGGGATCTCACTCAGTCTTGGAGACGGAAATATACCCTTTTTAGTGCCTCATCAGAAGGGCAGAATCATTCAAGAATTGTATTTAATTTATGTCCTTTACAAACTGAGGATGACAAACAGCTGCTGCTCTCCACATCAATGGATAGAGATGTAAGAACTGCTTATTTTGCATTTAGCATTGTAGAGCGCGGATTTATGACTTGGATGGGATTAGAGGGCTTTTCAAACCATCCATCAGTTCTCAGGCCCCACCTTTGACCCCTGAGCCAAGCCCAGACCAATCTCAGAGTTAACTGTTACTGATCAGCACTAACTATGTCAACAGCAGAGAGTTTGAGGAAAGGTGAGGAACCACCAAGATAGATGCCTTTTTGTTAAAGCAGATATGTTAAAGAATTGTAGATGTGTCCAGGGAAGGATTTGTGAGATCATCATGCTTTGGCTTTAAAATATCCTTGTCTATAGTTTAGGTAGAGAAACATCTGTTCTTGGTGAAATCTCCAAGAGAGAATTGGCTTTATTTAAGAGTCTATGACTATTGTTTTGCAGTTAAGCTAGGCTTATTTGATACACTGTTTTCTCCTAAGCTCCTCTGTTAAACAAGTGAAGATTAAATATGTAGCACTCTCCTTCCCCTGGATATAAGATATTTTGCTTTTTGAGAGAGCTCCTGTCATTTTCCAGGGTCCTCAGGCCATCTTCATTATTAGTTAGGGTTTGCCAAATGAGGAGATTACCAATGCTGTAATAAAGTAGAAACGCCAGTGGACTCTGGGAAATGGGAGGCCTGGGTCTGGTTTATTCACTGTATGACCCTGAATTCAGTTGACATCACTGGGAATAAATGTATTCTAAGATCCCTTTGAGCTCTATAATTTATTACTTTTTTTTTTCTAAAAGACACTTTTTCCAGTACCTACTGGAATAGTTAAATTACATTATTCTTACCCATTCTTTGAGTCCATCCTACTTGAGATGTTCATTCTTTTTCCAGTTTCTCAGATCTTTTTTTATTTTTAGACCCTAACCCTTGATCTTTCAGGTAAAATGTTGGGACATGGCCACCCTTGAGTGCTGCTGGACCCTGCCTTCCCTTGGTGGGTTTGCCTATAGCCTGGCTTTCTCTCCTGTGGACATGGGCTGTTTGGCCATAGGCGTTGGGGATGGCATGATCCGCGTATGGAATACACTCTCCATCAAGAACAACTATGATGTGAAAAATTTTTGGCAGGGTGTCAAGTCCAAGGTTACAGCGGTAAGGATGATTTATTTGAGCTTGCTCTGAACTTTTTTCCAAATAAGTAATTCTTGTAGTAAGAAATTAAAAATGACCTGGATGTGCATTCATAGAAGATTCATTTAAGTTATAATATAAACACATATTGAATGGTATCAGACTGTTAAAAATGATAATGTGGCTCTTTGATGTGGAAAGGTGTTGATGATTCATGAAAAATGAAAATAGAAAACAAGAAATGCAGATTACACAACAATATGTATATGGTTTTTGTTTTTCTCTAGTCTAAAATCAGTAAATGTTTGGTTTTAAAAGGAAAACCATACAGAATTGGCCAAATCACTATGTTGTACACCTGAAACTAATATAACATTGTACGTCAACTATACTTCAATAAAAAAATAATAATAGAGACTGCCTGGGTGGTGCATAGTTGGTTAAGCATCCGACTCTTGGTTTTTTTAGCTCAGGTTGGGATCTCAAGGTTGTGAGATCGAGCCCCACACGGGGACTCAGCGCTCAGTGTGGAGTCGGCTTGAGATTCTCTCTGTCTCTCAAATAAATAAATCTTTAAAATAAAAAATAAAATAATAACAATATAAAGAGAAAAAAAGAAAACCAAACCGTACGGAAGTGTAGAACGCAAAAAATATTCCAACCTTCCACTGTATTCTCCCACTTCTATAATGCAGAGAACCACAGTTGGCAAATTTTATTAATAGAATCCTATTTTCTAAACTGTTATGTATCCCCACTCAACAGTGTATCATGCACATTTAAATGTTTGAACCTATTTTTGTTTTTTTCAACTGTATATATTTAACTTTATTCACAAAAAAATATCTGGAAAGATACAAAATTGGCAATGGGGTGTTTTGGATGGTGGGATTACTAGTGATTTTTACTTTGTTTAATGCTTGTTTCTTTTAAATAATGAAAATTTGTTGCATTTAAAATTAGAAGATACCAAGAGCACGAAAGTTGTCCGTTTGAATGCTTAAAGGATAACCTGACGGTCCCCTTAACGGGATGCGCCTTTCCTCATGTTTTGTAGCTGTGCTGGCACCCAACCAAGGAAGGCTGCTTAGCTTTTGGCACTGATGACGGGAAGGTGGGATTGTACGACACCTACTCCAACAAGTAAGAAATAGAAGATTGTTTGGCCCACTGACCGTAATGTCATTGATGGAGTTAATTTTGATTCCTAAACCTGGATGTACATCATAATTGGCCTGGGAAACATCTTTAAGATCCTGGCTGTGAGACTGAGGCTTACAACTTGAAATTTTATTTTTAAAAAATTTTTCAGGTGATAGTGGTTCAGCCTATCCAACCTGTGGTTACCACTAAAATAAACCATTTGCTTTTGTTTTCCTTCATCTTTCCTTACAGAAGTTTTCAGGCATCCATGAACATTGAAAGCCTAGTACAAAGAACGGCTCTGTGCCTTCCATCTAGACTCACCAGTTGTTAACATTTCGCCATACTTGCCTTATCTTTGCACACCTAAAATTAACAGTAATTCCGTAATAAGATCTCATATCCAGTCCATATACAGATTTCTTCAGTTGAGCCAAAAATGTTTTTCTTAGCAATTTTTTTTCAAATTCATTTCAAATAGGGTTCAACACATTGCATTTTGTTATGTCTCTTTAGTCTCTCTTATTCTAGAAGAACACCCCCACTTCTATCCATAACATTCCCTTTTCAGTTTGAAGATTCCAGATAAGTTTTTGGTGAGAATATTCTACATTTTGGACTTACCTGGTGATTTCTTTGTGGCGATTTCTAACTCATTTCAGTATTCCCGATATTTCCGACAAGCTGGAAGTTGTATCTAGAGCTTCATTGTCCATTCCAGTAGTCTTTAGCCACAGCTGACTACTGGGATGTGCTGTAAGCCTAAATACACTGCAAAGACAGTCTCCCCCCAACCTCAAAAATGTAAAATACCTCAATAATTATTTTATTTTGGTATTTTAAAAGATAATACTTTTGTATATTGAGCTAAATAAAATATACTATGAAAATTGAACTTCACTTATTTCTTTTGCTTCTTTGGATTTGAATGTGGCTCCAGGAAAGCTTTAAGTTGCATATGTGGCTCGGACGTATGGCTCGCTTTATGAATCTACTGAACCCACAGCTATCCTAGCTGCTTGATTAGATTCCAGACCTGCGCTGTTCACTTTGGTAGCCCCATGTGGCCATTTATAGTTAAAATAATTAAAATTAAATTGGATTAGAAGTTAAGTTCCTTGTTTCTCATGAGCCACATTTCGAGTGCACAAGGCCCAGTGCTTATTGAACGGCACTGTTCTAGAGCAGGGATTGGAGAGCCATGGCTCATTACTAAAGAATGGTTCTACCTTTTTAAATTATTGGGGAAAAAAAAACCCAAAAGACCATTTCATGACATGAAAATTAAATAAAATTATGGTGTCCACAGATAAGGCTTTATTGGAACCCAGTGGCGCTCCCTTGTTTCCACCTTATCAGAAGCTGCTTCATAGTGCCAGAGCAGAGCGAGAGATGTGACAGAGGCCTCGTGGCTCAGAAAGCCTGAATATATACTGGCTGGCCCTTTCCAGGATAAGTTTGCCAACCCCTATTCTAGATCATTCATTTCTAAGTGAGAATTACTTACTACACTGCAGAGTTAATCTTTTTTATATGCAGTTTTTAAGTACATATGTAAAACCTATATGCAGTTAGTTACCTGCATTTTTTGTTCCGCAGTTAGTTAACTCCATTTTTTAATTCTCAAAAAAATAATACACTATTTCAAAGAGGCACTGAAGAAAATAAAACCATATTTCAATTTGAATAGCTCTGTGTCATCACAAAATTGTTTACTAATTCTATTAAATTAATATATTCTGGTTATTATAAACTGAATATCCAAACGAACCCAGGAAAGGTGTGTAGTAGGAGGAAGGGTGCTGCCGTAGACATGCTGTTGGGCAGTATTCAGCCAGAACTACTTATCCTATTTCTTTGAGCCCAAAGAAATTGGGTTTTATTGTCCAGAATGATAATGATGCATGTGCCAGAAACATGGAAGTAAATAAGTCAACACCTAGTTTGGTCGTGGGTTCTGGACTCTAGGAATTCTCACATCAGACAGAGAACACGGTTTATGATAAAGGTAACAGCCAAACTGCCCTTTACTGACACCTCATATGTCATTAACCACCCCAGCCTTCCACATAACCCTCAAGAGCAAGATTTCTTCAGTCAAAAACTTCCAACTTCTCTAAAATCTTGTCTTAGTTTAAGAATGTGATGTTAATGACAGGGTAAACCTGAAATGACTTCTGGTCTTTTACTTGAAAGTGAGGTGGGTCCATCTGTATGATGATAATAGACGCTCTGCAGTAACCTTAGTTCTGGGCTGAACAGTTTGCATTTTCTATCTTGTTCTATTTTTCTCTAGTTGTGATAACCTTTACACTGCTTGTAACTACAGTAACATTAGAATATATGACATTTAAGTGAAGTGGGCAACTGGGAGGGGAGAGAGGAAAAATCCCAAACTGGCCAGACTCGAGGGGAGAGGGATAACATTTTTTTCTGGGTAAAGTACATTTGGGACTTAATCATTTTGATGGCAGATATCATTACATGGTACTTTATTTAAGTGTTGGCTTCTCCACAATCAGCTATTTGGAGAAGGATACTGTTAAATTGTTTTGCTCAAATATCAGCAACATAGATAAGAACCTTTTAGAAAAAGATGGGTCTGTTTCCCACTGTGCCTTCTGTTTAAATTTTTGTCATCCCCTTTCCCCCCAGACCTCCACAGATTTCTAGCACATATCATAAGAAGACTGTATACACTTTAGCCTGGGGGCCACCACTACCCCCCATTTCACTCGGTAAGTACGAGAGCCATTCTCTAGCAAACATGAGAGCACTCTCTTTCTTTCAGTTTAATTGTAAGATATTCAAGCTAGAAAGTCATAAATATTCTAGTACGGTGACTGCTTATACAGACTGCTGTGTCCCCCCAAGGATCCATGAGGGCAGTCATAGCAGGTGATAAGTTAGAAACATTCACACATAATAACCCCCAAACTCTAAAGCATTATTTGGTCTCTTCGAGTTGAATTTTTTCATTGTGCATATAGTTCCTCATGCTGGCCTCTGGTGCCCAGCCTAATGTGCTGTCACTAAAATTTGCTATCACTTTTTAATTTTATCAGAATTACAATGGTATTTGACTATATTAATGGAGTAATGATCATCTGTTTTCACCTATAGTTAAAGCAAACTTAGAATTCCTCAAATGATCTCTTTTTGTCCTCACTGTACTCTGACCCTTTACCTCTTCTTGCTCCTCAGCCTTATCTTTATTATCCCTAAAGTGATATCCAAGTAATCGCAGTACATAGAGAAAATAATGTAAATCATCAGAACTCAAGCAGCATTGCAGTTGTAGGTCATTCCTTCATTCATTCAACAACTTGAATGAATCCTTGGATCCTTGATTTGTGCCACGCATAGTTCTAGCAGTGGTGAAAATAAAACTTGTCCTTACAGAAACCCATAAGAACCACTGTTTGCTTCTTAAAAGTCAAAAAGAGGATTGCTGTAATACTAAACAAATCATTGCTTTGAGGACAGCTCCTTATAGTTAGTCATAGGAAGTCCTGCAGCTCCGTATATTTAAATGCCCACAGAGTGGAGTGCTCATTTCTGAAAGAAAAGGTAAATTCTCATAAACATTGCGAACATGTTTTTTGATCCCAGCTTTGGCACCCATACTATCTGAATGGCAGAAGAATGTTTAAAGCAAATATGCTGCATTATAAATATTACTGTAGAATTAGTGCATCTTCTTACTTCTCCCAACAGCTGTGTTCATATGCAATTTTATTCCAATGTATTAATAAAATTCTTTTAAAATAACCCATAGTATAGCAACAAATAGTTAAGCTGATGAAATGCAAAACTGATAAACTTTCTTTTCTTATCTTATAGGAGGAGAAGGAGACAGACCTTCCCTCACTTTATACAGCTGTGGAGGGGAAGGGATTGTCTTACAGCATAACCCCTGGAAGCTTGGTGGAGAGGCCTATGATATCAACAAACTCATCAGGGACACCAATTCAATCAAAGTGGGTTCTTGTGGTCTAAAGTCTTCTCTGAATCTCTAATCTTCTTGGTTTCCCATCTTGCATCATAAATGCCATTATTAGAGATATCCATTATGCTAATCAGATTCCTTAGATGTTCCTAAAAGCCTCAATGAATTTGTGATTTGTAACACATAATGTAGAAATCTTTATCTCTGAGTAAAGCAAGGAACTTAACCAAACACACACATACATACACACACAAGTTTTGTCTCAATTATCATGGTGATCTATGATAAATTTTCAGATCTTGGATATAAAGCATCCTTTTCAGGCCAGCCACTTCCTCCAGAGTGAGACTTTGATAAAAAGTAATATGGTGGCCAAGTATGGCTGCAAAGTATTTTGCTCAAGACAGAATAACCATTTCATTTTTAATTTTTTAGTGAAATAATTACAGAATTTACACAAAAATAATACACCTAGTTCCCTTATATCCTTGACCCAGATACCCACATTTAATCACTTTTGCCTTACCATTTTTCAATCTGTGCCAGAACTGCCTTTTGAAGTGAAACCATAATGTTGAGAATTCCTTATTCTTGCAAATGAGCATTTTATTGGTGCTCATTATTTTTTAATGACTAGCAAAAATAACATTTAATCATAAATTGAATTATTTTTATCAACTATATTCTTTCATTGAATTATTTTTATCAACTATATTCTTTCATTAAATATTATCTCAACATTAACATTCAACAATGAATAAAAGAGACAAAATTTCTATTCCTAAGGAGCTTTTAGTTTTGTGGTAGTTGAATATATGGATCAGAACTTCATACAAGGAGGGGCACCTGGCTGACTCAGTCAGTGGAGCATACTACTTTTTTTTTTTTTTTAAGATTTTATTTTTTATTTGAGAGAGTGAATGAGAGAGAGAGAGAACACAAGTGGGGAGGGGCAGAGGGAGAGGAAGAAGCAGACTCCCTACTCAGCAGGGGTTTGATCCCAGGACTCCAGGATCATGACCTGAGCTGAAGGCAGATGCTTAACCAACTGAGCCACCCAGGCGCCCCAGAGCATGCAACTCTTGATCTCAGGGTTGTGGGTTTGAGCCCCATGTTGGGTGTAGAGATTACTTAAAAATAAAAACTTAGAAAAAAAAAAACTTCATACAAGGAGTTTGGGCTGGAGTTAGAAATTTGGAATTCCTGGGGCACCTGGGTGGCTCCGTCGGTTAAGCATCCAACTCTTGATTTTGGTTCAGGTCATGATCTCGGGGTGATGAGATTGAGCTCTGCGTCAGGCTCCGTGCTGGGCGTGGAGCCTGCTTGGGATTCTCTCTTTCCCTCCCCTTTGCCCTTCCCCAACTGCTTGAGCACTCACTCATTCTCTCCCTTAAAAAAAAAAAATTTGGAATTCTTTCAGATGAATGGTAGCTGAAGAAGCTGTAGGCATATATGAGATGGTCTAAAGAGATAAGAAGACAAGGGGGACAGCCTTGGGGAAACACCAACAGTTGGGAGAAAAAAAAAAAAAAAAAAACAGAAGGAAAAGAAACAGAAATAGACAGGAAGAGAACCAGGGTAGTGTATATAAAGCTTTTGTTAAGGAGACATGACCCCCATGTTATCAAGCCAGTGGACATGTTAACATTCTCTGTTGTGGGATCAAAATCATTTTAATGAAGTTCATTTCATAAGGTTAGGCATTGTAAACATTTAGTATTTACTGGCCTCTCTCTTTTGTCCCAATTAAGGAAATTACAATTAGAATGCTTGCTTTTAGTAACTCTTGTAGTAACTCTAACTATGTAGGTTATTTACAAGTTGCATAATTAGAACATTTTAAAACTCTAGGGATTTTTTTTCTCATGTTGTCATCGTTGATTTGTAAGATATGCAGAGAGAAGAACAATGCTTTTAGTCAAGATTGGTTTGTTTTGCTTTCTAGTATAAATTGCCTGTACACACAGAGATCAGCTGGAAAGCAGATGGCAAAATCATGGCTCTTGGCAACGAAGACGGGTATGTGTTTGTTTCTTTAAAAAACAAAACAAAACCAGAAAACTTTGTAATTGCACATACATTTGATCAAAAGCTGATTAATGCCATCTATAATGTTAGTTGGGGCAGCCTGTTGAATATGATATTCTGATCTGTCCTTGATACCCATGAATGATCCAGGAGCTCCCTACATCTTTGAGAATGCAAAATAAGCTAGGTATTTACAGTCTAAAGGAATGTTTGCCTATTCAGTGTTTGGGCTGTTTTATGCTTCACAAAATGCTCATCTACTGCACTACTTACTGCACTGAATTGCCTAAATCTTTCTTCATTTTTTTAAAATAAGCCTGGGCAGAAATGCTTTTTAGACCTCACTGTGCATTTTCTGATGTTGATCATAGCAGCATAGTCCTAATTTAGCCATTGGTTCATTAATTCTTCTTTTAGCTTTTCCATAGCACCATTTATCACAAGAGCCTGATAAACACAACTTTACAGAGATTGTTGGGATTTTTTTAAAGCTAAATATACTTGTTGAAAGAACAGCCTTTTGTATCTGGTTCTCTTTAAGAGAGTGACCTTTGCAGTGATAGATAGGGTTATCCTATTCCATTTCACCTTTAGTTGAATGATGGAATGAGGGAGATTCCTGTTTGCATTAGATTGTAATTTGATCATCTATCTTCTCGTGTATTTGTTATTACAGATCAATAGAAATATTTCAGGTTCCCAGCCTGAAACTGATATGCACCATCCAGCAGCATCACAAGCTTGTGAATACCATTAGCTGGCATCATGAGCATGGCAGTCAGCCGGAGCTGAGCTATCTGATGGCCTCTGGGTCCAACAATGCAGTCATTTATGTGCACAACCTAAAGACTGTCATAGGTAACTTTGGTTTCTTACACACTGGGGTGATAACTGTTCAGCTGCTTCGCACTCCAAGTTGTATACCTTTTTACGTGCTTCTTGGTATTAAAATGTTATTCTCACTGGTTTTTTCTGCTTTCAAAAGTAACATATTCTTCTTAATTAAAATAAGACGGGTGCCTGGGTGGCTCAGTCGGTTACTCATCAGACTCTTGGTTTCAGCTCAGGCCAGAACTTGGGGTGGTGAGATGGAGCCCCGCATAGGTGGTTAAACGAGCCCCTTTTTTAAATATGAAAGAAGTGAGATTACTTTTTTCCTAATATGAAGAAATTATAATCTAACACTACACTGTTTCGAGAGTACTGCCCAAGTATAGGCTGTCAGCCATAGTGAAAATAGTTGACATTTTTATTTTCTCTAGAATTTCCCATAGTTTTCTAAGAATCCTTATCTGTAACAACAAAAAAAATTGATTCTAGCAGTGGTTCCCTCACATTAAAAGCATATGGAAAAACTATTAAACTAGAGACAGACTTTCCTAACAATAAGTAGTAGACAGTGTGTAACTAATGAGCATGATATGTTAGAAAGCTTATCCTGGTCCTTATTATTAGTGGGATTCCAAATTAAGCATCCACTTGGCAGAGGGCATTAACTTAATTCACCAGAGCAATGCAGATCTTTGTCTACTTTAACACTAACATCTCAGTTTGTTTTTTGTTTTTTTTTTTTTAAAGATTTATTTATTTATTTGAGAGAGCGAGAATGAGAGAGAGAGAGTACATGAGAGGGGGTAGGGTTAGAGGGAGAAGCAGG